AAATGTCAAATTTTTTTGACAGATAAAATTTTTTAAACATTTTTTTCATATTCCTGGCATCTTACCTTACTTGAAAATTTTCTCTGGAGCGCGAGTTCTGGCGTACCCTGTATTAGAAGAGGAGACAAGGAAGCTGTAAGTATCCTAAATTGTAACTCTATTTAATGTTATTTGTGGCTTTTATTGGCAAAATTTTTGTACTTTTACTAAATAATTATAAAAAAAACATATCATCCGTACCATTAAATAGACGCAAAAAATGTCAAATGTCAAAAAATATTTGCTAAAATTTTTTGACATATAGAACTTTTTCAACATTTGTTCCATGTTCCCTGGTATCTTATCTTACTTGAAATTTTTCTCTGGGGCGCGAGTTCTGACACACCCTGTATAAATTAGCAAACTTGCATAAATTATGACATGTGTGTTTTTAGGTTTTATTTTAGTTTTTTTACTATAAAGTCTTGAGCATAGTTAATTGTTTCTAATAATTTCTTAGCAATTTTGGTTTAGATAATTAAAATTTTATTTTCTTAATTAATAAAAAATGTACGATAATATAATTTATTGGTGACAGTAAAGAGAGAATAACAAGATTATAATGAGACAATTCAGAGTTGGATTTATCACCGATTCATTCGAATAATCGAGGTTTTACTATAGTAAATATTGTCTATTAAATTGTTATTATTATTTAGTATCAAATAAAAACTGATCTACAACGTAACGTTGCATTATTATTTACTTGATTTTTTTCACACAAATTTATTTTTTCTACTTTTAAAACAAAGTTTTGCGTGTTTAATTTTTTTCTGAGGTCAATCTACGGTCACTCGTACAGTGTTTGAACTCTTTCCGTGTTTTAAAGCTTTTCGTTCAGCTTCAAACAGCAAACTTAATTTGTAACAACGAAAGTTTTAGTTTTATTTAAAAAACAATATTTCTTAATTTTCAGAAACATAAGAGAAGTTTGAGAATATCACCACGATTTTCTGAATTACAAGCCTTATTATGTTTTTCGGGAACAAAATGTGGCAATTTTTGAAAAATTGTTATAATTTAGCGGTTTTTCGGTGTTGAAGCCGCATTTCTGCACTTTAGTGCCTGTGGCTTCCTTTACCTCGAATTCCGTAATCGGATTACCCGGAATTTTTCGAGTCTAAACGTGCCGGTTTAGGGGGCCAGTTGAGCCACCCCGGACTTTACGCAACTCATCGATGAGAACGATGTTCCGGGTCATATAACGCGGATTTAATGATTGTAGTAATGGACCGTAAAAATACACTTAACCCTGTCGAGGGTACGTGCAAAACATACCCGGCACGTAGTGAAGAGACGTGCACGAACAAAAGTTGCTTCCAGAAGAAAAATAATATCCAGACAACAGCAGAGTCTATAATTCATTTGGGAGATAATTGACGTGCAACTGAGGTGTAGTCCGCGATAATTAGATCCAGTTTCGCTATATGTTTCGGAAAAGTTGGGTAAAGATGAGCCGGAAACGTGACAGGAGGTTAGTGATTTTCGTTTAATCTCATTAATTTTCATTCCCTATTATACTTTGTTGTGTGCAGGGGGCTTTTTATCGGGATGGATTCCAGGCATTCTGCTTTCGCGCGTACGTTATCCCACTTATCATTCCGCGTTCGAGTTTTAGACGCTTTCGGTTAATTATTACACCTACGGAATATAATTATGTACAACAGGGCAAGAATCCTATTTTCGTCTTATTTTAGCATTAGTTTACAGCATTATACCCCTGCCAAGATAATTCAATTAATTCACAGAAATGTTTCAGCGTTTTTTCTGATAAACGAGGGATGTGGAACGATGATGACACATTAAAAAGAAAAAAAAAGCCCTGACGTTAAAAGTGTTGTTGTCCCAGCTTTTGGGTTAATTGTGTTTCAAATTGGGATCGTATTTAATGCGGTTGGCCACTGTTTAATACAAACAAATAGATTTTTAATGGCACTGAATTAACACGTGTCCAATTATGTCATTTTGTGCTTGTGTAAACTTGACTTTACATTTTTTTAAGTTGTTTTAGGATTTACTAAATAAATACTTTATATTGCTATTATAAAACAATAACTGATATTTGCTTCTCTATGTCAACAGACTAGTTTAATTGAAATTTAACAGTGGTCCGATTATCAAAATGTGTATAATGAAACAATTCAGAATTATCAATGAGATGTAGAGCGCGAAAGTTTAATTGGGTCACTTTGTAAACTTAAAAAACTTAATTTGCTAACTATTGGATTTGAGTCAAAATGGGGCACAAGCGAATTTTTTGGATTTTACACGATTTATTGATTGATAAAATTTAGATATTTTTTTCAAATTTTTCAGAATTTCTTGATTAAGATGACTGTTCTGCGACTCCTCATAATTATCGGAAAAATTGCCAAAAACATGCATCATTTTGTCGTTAGTTTTATGAAACCTCCTATGTACCCAAAATAAATAAAAAAATATGAATAACATTGGTTATTTTTTTCTTCTTTTTTTTAAACTTTAAATACAATTTTTCATTCAATTTTTTATTTATTTCAATACTTTGTTTCTTTATTTTTTGTTTTATTTTTTGTTTACTGAGTGTAATAATGTTTTCTGTGTATAGTGAATAGACTTTTCTGTTTTTAAATTTATGTTTTTTAGTGTTCAGCCTTTTTAAATTTTTTTGTTTTTTTTTGTTGAGCACTTTTATTGACTTTTGGTGTTTTTTTATTTATTCTTTGCTTTATCTATTGTTTCTGTTTTTCTACCTTATATCAATTTAAGTTCAATAGCTTTTGTTCTCTTTTTTATGCATTACTTTTACTTACTTTAAGTATCATTGATTGTCATTTTTGGTCTTTATTTTTCTCTTTCTTAATTTTGTTGTTTTTTATTTTTATTTTGATCTGATTTAGGTACATTTTACTAGTTCATGCATAATTTTGTCGTTGGTTTTATGAAACCCCCTATGTACTTAAAATAAATATAAAAAAATATGAATATGTAACACTGGTTATTTTTTACTTATTTTTTTTAAACTTCACTAAAAAATACAATTTTTTATTCCATGTTTTACATTTTTTTATTTATCTCAATATGGTTTTCTTGTTTTGATTTTTAAATTTTTTGTTTTTTTTTTGTTATGGACTTTTGGTGTTTTTGTGTTCATTTCTCCCCTTCTCTATTTCTGTTTTTTACGTTATATAAACTTAAGTTTAATATTTTTTGTGTTCTTTTATATGAATTATTTTAATTAGATTTAAATATTAATGATTCTTTACTTTTGCCTCTCTTAATTTAATTTTTTTTGTTTTCTGTGTATAGTAAATACGCTTTTCTGTTTTTGAATTTGTTAGTTTTTTAGTCACGTATTTTTAGACTTTAATTTTTTTTAGTTTTTTTCACAACTTTTATCGAATTTTGATGTTTTTTATTCATTTCTTTCTTTATCTATTACTTTTGTCTTTCTACCTTATATGTATGTTTATACATATATATGTTTATAAGTTCAATAGTTCTTGTTCTCTTTTTTTTACTCGCTTTAAATATCATTGATTGTCATTTTCGGTCTTTACTTTTGTCTTTCTTAATTTTGTTGTTTTCTATTTTTGTTTGTTCTGATTTACATTTTACGACTTCTTTCAAAATGTATTTCAATTTTTTATGTACACTTTTAATTTCATTATTTCTTAAATCTATTTTGTGTCATCAAATGTTTTCTCAAATTATCTTTTTTCATCTTCTCTTGGTATTTCCTTCGCTTTTTTGCATTCAAATTTTTCTTAAATCTTCTTTATGTCATCAAATGTTTTCTCAAATAATCGTTTTTTCATCTTCTCTTGGTATTTTCTTTGCTTTTTTGCATTCATTTTTTTTAAGTAAGTACCATTTTTTATTTTTGACCACTATTTAAAAAAAAATCATACATAACAAAAGGTTTAAATGAGTTTTGGGAACTTTAACAAAAACGTACTTAAAAACGTTTTGTGGACTCATCTGCTATTCCAGACTCGATTTCGCGTCTCTCAAAAACTGTATTTTAAGCTCTTGCAACAAGATTAATTATTAACAAACAAAACTAAAAGATGATGAGGCATAAAAAAGCAAAAACAAAACAAAAAAATTGATGACAAAAAACAACTAAGAAATAATAATGATATGAATTAGTTACTTAATGTACATAGAAAATTTGCAATAAAAAACGCGAAATTTAAGCGACACAAAGGTAAAGACATGAAATAATAAACAAGCATGTTAAAAACGAGTAGAAACAACAAAGAATACAAAAAACAAATTAAAAATCTAATATGTTATAAATTATGATACATAGAAAGACAAAAATATTGAAATATTGATTCATTTTCTAAAGAAATGTCAAATTTGGTACATTTTGTATAATAATTTTGAGAAATTAACAATCTTTTGAAAACAGCGATCAAGGCCTTATAACATTCTTTATACCTTTATGCCAATACATTTTACACTCTGTTTCAAACTAGATCAAAAAATGCTTAAAAGTTATTAAAAGCATGATACAAAAAAATGCGATTTGGGGATTTGGCCTAGATCCCTTGTGCGTTTTTGGCGAACTAGTCTTTTCCGGTCGTAAACATTTAATGGAAATAATCTCGCACTAGTCGAGTAAATTACCTCGAGCTAATCGGTTCCGGAGCAATTACAATAAACCGTCTCTGCGTAAATTCAAAAGAAATTAAAAGTAGGAGCGTAAAACCTCCGGAATCAGAGAATCACCTCTCCGGCATTCCGTAATTAACCCTCCAAGTCGCAGATCAGTCAGCGGGGGTTGGCGTGGCGTCTCCGGTCGCTCCGGACCCGGCGACGCTCCGGTCCGTAAACTGAATATAAATACACTCTCAATTTACAAGTGTATTATTGCCGAGAAACCTAGCGGGATAGCCGATCATCATCGCGACACGACGCATCTCGACGCGCAAAGAGCGAGAGACCGGAGTTCAGTATCGCCCGGAACCCGGACTTGACCGGACTCCAGACACTAACACTCTTTGCTTCCACGGACACGCCCACAACATCGCTAACGCACACGCATCCGGAATAAAACACTTTGAAATCCGATTAAAAGTCGCAAGCTCGTCGCAGACTTGCCATTTCCGGGTGTCAACAAAATTCTTCCGGGATTTTTTCCAACGGTGAAAAAAGTGGGAGTGGCGGTTACCTTTTGCATTAAATATGAACCGCAGCCTGGAGTTTAATAAAGCGATCCGGGTAAAAGCTCCGATGTAATAAAATTGTTAATAGTGACCGGATTCGAATTATTCGAGTTTTAATCGGAGAGTTCAAGATGTTTGGGACGATTGTTTGGCTTGTTACGGCCCTGCAAATACTAGGTAACATATCGTCGACTTGATTTTTATTTTTACTGATTTACATGACAATACGAAAAGTGAAAAGGCAATTTTTCTATACATAAGGGGAGCGAACGTTCATCAAAACTTTGCTCAAAACACAATTACGTGACGGAAAATTGCAATGCAACGGAAAGGAACTGCATTTGGGGCGCTTCAGGCAGTTCATATGGCCGAGGGGTGCGAATTTAAGGGCGCAAAATGGCGTTACACAAGACTAATCAATTTTTTTGGCCCCGTACCAATCTAATCAATAATTCAAAAAATAATCAGTCATTCTGTTTTAATTGAGCTATTTTACTTTTTGTTTCAAAATTTCCTATTATGAACATTGTTTACACATTGTAAACAATTTCTGTTTGTACAATATGCGTGGTGGTTTCTTTATAACAATACAATAACAATAAAAAAAATTTTAATTTGCTTGTTTGGTTCCAATAAATCGATTTTACTTTAAACACAATTTAATTTTTTTTTAAATTTTCTGAAACGAAATGAAAGTTTTAAACGGATTTTGTTGAACATGAATAAATTTATTTTCTTTAAAACGCATTTGCTTATTTATTAAGTGTAATTTGAGAACAAAAAACCGATTCAAAGTTATAATTTTTTTTCCAAATTAATTTTTTTTTCTTCTGGTATATTGTAATTAAACTGAGCTGTCTCACTTTATTCTCAATGTTAATCGCATTTGCTACTACCTCGTTTGAGGTTTCTTTATGAGTTTATTCAATTATGTGATTTTAAAAGAATTTTTCGTTCTGGATTCTGACCACTGAAACTTTGATCATCTGATATTTGTATAATTATCGTTTTAAACACAACTTCTGGTTCAGTAAACTAGCGAAACGTATTCGTTTTAGGGAGATTGGATAGTTGATGAGTACATTGTGTAGACTAAACCTTACTTAACAACAATTAAGTGAATTCTATACAGTCATTAACTTCAAGTATCCAAGTTAAAGTTAACGATTTAAACAAACATGTGATTTATAATCTTGCTTAATAGTCGCTTATTAGCTTGGCAAACTTGGTTTGTGTTATTTTCAAAACAGAAATTTTTCGATAGTAAAAATTTAAAAAAAGGTACCTAAACTAAATAATGCATACATTAAACTTGTTGAAAATTACAAAAGTGACAATTTTTATTAAGTAAAAGTTTTATTTTACAGCCATGGAGAATTTTTTTTTATTTTTGCGCCTAAGCGTTTTTACTTTTACCATAACATTTACCAATGTTGTCTCTTTTTTGTCTCTTTTGCTATTGCAGCAGTTTCTAGAAAAGTAGATCAGCATTTGACATTTTGCACTACTAACTGCACTAATCATCTAATATTTCAATTAATAAACACTTTTGAAAGTCTCAATACAAATTCTTATACTGACGCGTGATGGTTGTTTATAAGCGTTGTTATAATTTTATTACTTGCAAAGCGTCCTGATTATTTTGTTCATTTACTTGCTAATTATAGTGTTGCTCTTTACAATCGATCTGAATACGTTTGTCTTTAAAATAGTATATGTTACTAGGAGTAAAAGAGAGTTTACGTGGCTAAGCTGATTTATTTGCTTCACTACGTTCAAAAAAATAAACATTGTTTACTCCTAATAGCTACTAATTTTATTATTTTCTTACGCACGAAAAAATCTATTACAAAATTTTATCACCGTCTCTCAATCTTTGATCATTTTTTTTTCAGTTGCTGCTGCAAAATTCGACTTTAGAAATTATAAACATTTTTCAGAATTTTACTATTTTATCTTACTAATTTATGCTTTTTCTCAATATATTGAAAAAATGTTAATTTTTTTTTTTTGAAAATTATTACATTTGCAATTTCTAGAAGTTAGTATAGGTACTCAATTGAAAAGTATTTTTTATTTTGGGCTTGTCTGTAAACTGTTGAAATATTTATTAAAAACTCAAATTTTTAATTATTTCTCTAGATATTTATGTTTTTAAAATTTTAATATCCTGAATTTCTCAATGTTTCGCAAGTTTTCCATCACTTGCTTTTTTAAAAAATGTTTATTCGATAAGTTTATAAGAAAAAAGTATGTGTTAGTCTCAAGATCTTTAATCTCTTATTAAGATTTTTATTTTTCTCAAGATAAAAAATTTTTTTTGGATTGTTTTTCGGTACATTTCAAGTTGGGTCAAAAATAATCTCACTCAAAATATTAACTTAAAAAATCTTCAGACTTTTTTTACAGAAATGCTCAAATTTATAAAATGTCGATCTTTTTGATATATCCTGCTGCAAAAAAACAGTTGGAGAGACTACGAAGTGACCAGAAATATTAGCTTAGACTTGCAATAAAAAATTTTAAAATTTTTAGTGAAATGTTTAAATATAAAAAATGTGAGTCGAGATTTTTCAAAATTTAGTACTGCAAAAGACAATTGGGGAGACTAAAGAGTTGCAAAAAAATTAAACACATTCTTAAAGAAACGCTCAAATACAAAAAAAAGTAATAATAAAAAAATTCTTATTTTGTTATTACTTAATACGGACTATAAAATTTTAAAAAGCTAACAAAAACTGAAAAAAATTATTAGCAATTTTTTGTTTGTGATTTTTACAATTGTTTAATTTTTTCTTCAAAACTAAAAAAAATATTACGGAAAAACACTAAAATTGTAACTTGAATAAAAGTCCAACGTCGTAAAACGCACTTTTTTTTGGAAAACTGTTTTTATTGTATTTTTTAGAACCGAAATCTATAAACAGTATTTTTTAATAATGTGAACATTCTTTATGGCCTTGTCTCCCGTGGTGTCTCCTTTGAACTTTGAACATTTTTTAATGTAGTGAACCGAAATTCGCGATAAATCATTCTTGTAAAGTTTTTCCTCTTTCTTGGCTATTTTTCTGTAGTCCGATTAGGCGCGATCGTGGGGGCGTTGTATCCATAGTCGAAGAATTAGCACCGCGATAAATCCTCGGACGATTTCAGCAAACAATAGTTTTGATATAATGTCGCGGATAGTAAAAGCCTGAGCTCCCTTCGCCATAAATAATTCCGATATCAAGATATATGTTGGCACCTATTCATTATTCTGTTCATTACGGACGACAACCAGATTTATTCGGCGACCTTTTGATGGCCACCCAACATTCGTTATTCCAACATCCTGCCATTCAACATCACTACTTTTCACTGCTTTTTACAAAAAACCCGTGGTAATTCACCGTTTCGACAAATAAAACACGGGGAATACATCATCGGGGACCGATTTGGGGTGTTTTGACATCGATAAATTATTTAACGAGATTTCGGAGCGCGAAAACCCGCAAAGGTCAAGGCAAAGTCGCCCAATTCTGAGGCTTTTGACTACTTAAATGTTTTTTCTTCCGTTTTTTGCTGCCTCCGATACGGTTAACAAACACATAAGTTATTAATTCAAGTACTTGAGAATATTTCAGCTTCAGGGTCAACATTTCAATATCGAACACGCGACGCTTATTCAAATCGGATTTTTTCTAATAAGATTATTAAGGTTTGCTCCTGAAACTTTATTACTGACTACACCTGGCAGTGACACGCGACTCGAGCTTACGTCAAGTATATAAACAAATAAATCCGATAAAAGACGCTTCCAAAGCTTAAATTTCTTGAAGTGGATGGAAATTAATGTGTTGGCAGAAACGTGAATATTTTCTTTTTATTTACAATAGAAATGGTAATATTGTTTCGTAACAAACTCTACTGTTGACCCAGACTTGTTTTTATTGCTTATGGCTGTGTTTGTGTCGTCAAAGGAATGGTGTCTTGTTACTTTGATTAAAAATAAAAAAAATTCTGGGTAGTTTTACATCAAAATAATTAAAAGTTTAAAAAATGGTACATGCACCGGGCGAATTTGTGTCTAATTAAATGTTTTTCTACTTTTTGCAGAGTTTAAGTAAAGAGTTTAAGTAAAAAAGTTATTAAAAACAAATAAAAGCAAAAAAACGTTTGAAATATGTTAAAAAATCGTTTATTTTTACGGTAAATAAAACTAAAAAGTAAAAAGTAAAGCCAAATATTTTTGAATTCATGCAAATAATTTTAACTTTTGTAAATAAAGTTAAACCAGGTAAATTTGTGTTTGATTAAATTCTTCTTTGTTTTTGCACAAGTTTTAGTAAAATGAAAATCTAATAAAATATAAAGTCAAAAAGCGTTACATACTTTTTTCCAAAAAATTGTAATTTTTATAAAGTTAAAAATGGTGGATGCGCCGGACAAATTTTGGTTTCATTTTGATTTAATACTTTTTTGCGATGATTTTACTATGAAATAAAATTCCACATAAAAAGCGTTTAACTTATGTTAAATAGTTTTTTTTCCAAACAATTTTAGATTTTTAATTGAAATTAAAAATGGTGAATGCACTGTGCAAATTAGTGTTTGGTAAAATATTTATTTATTTTTTTGGTTGGTTTTAGTCAAAAATGAAAAGATTAATTTAAAAAAAAATTAGAGCAAAGAGCATTTGCAAAATCTTAAAAAAATTATTTCGCAAATAATTATAAGATGTTTAGAATAAACGTAAAAATGGTGGATGCGCCGGACAAATTTGTGCTTGGTTAAATATTTGAATACTTTTTGCGGTGGTTTTAGTATTTTAAATAAATTAAAAATAAATAAAGGCAAAAAGCGCTTTAAATATATTAAATAAAAATTAATTTTTTTTTAATAATTATGTTAAAAAATAGTAATTCCGCCAGGCAAATTCGTGTTTCGTAAAATATTTCTCTACTTCTTGCTACAAGTTCTATTCAAAAATACACTTTTATTAAAAATAAAATCAAAAAGCGTGAAAATAGTGGATGCGTTAGACAAATTTGTGTTGGTTAAATATTTGAATACTTTTTGCGGTGGTTTTAGTCAAAATTAATTAAAAATAAATAAAAATCAAAAAGCACTTGAAATATGTTAAAAAATATTTATACATACATAATTATTTTAAAAAATAGTATTTGCGCAAGGTAAAT